ATAATAATAATAATAATAATAATAATAATATGTCGTTCTTATTATCCAATAAAATGCCGCCAACAGCGTTACGACATCATTCATTGCTTTCCTACCGAGTTGTTTTAACACTAGCCACATAAAGCATAGTGTTACGCATAATTTCATGAAAACGCAGTATAAGTAGCATAAACAAATTTAGAATTGATATAAATGTCATTAGGCCCTACATTTAGAAAAAATAAATTGTTATGTAGAACACTTAACAATTGATAATAAGATTTGATATATTTTTTAATTCATTTTCCGATCAATGAAAGTTTGAAAAAAAAAAATAGATTGATTGGTTACGTCAATGAAAAAAAACCCTCATATTAATAATATGGCTATACCGTGTTGAAATGAGCTGGCTGAGTGACACAAGGATGAAAGAATACGCTTATGTCAAGTCGAAGCAAACCTAAAAATAGCCTGATTGGAGAACTGATTGGCAATCCTGTAGCACTGTTCAACAGTATACGGTACTACACGACACTATATTCTCTTTGCAAAACATGAGGCATCACAGAAAGTTGGCCTGTTTTTACACTTCAATGTATTTCTTTTGTGCTAATGATGAACTCAATGAGATTTGCAATTATGTTCATACCGTGGATATAATATAACATTAGTTACTAATATATATAAAAGTAGTTTTAAAGATATAGTGTAATAACTGACTGAGTAGGCCTACTGTCCTTTATGAAAGAAAAATAACAAAATATTTTGCATTTCATGTTGTCATGTAGAACACTTAATGGATAAGATCTGAACATAATTGCTAAACAAGCGATCACATCCGATTCTGATTGTAATTTTGTGGTACAAAACACAAGGTTTATTCCTGAGAGAAGATTATAATCAACAAGAACAGCAGTGAGGTTCTGGGGTTCGCCTTGCGCGGACCCAAAAAGAAATATTGCGGTTGTGTCTGCTGATGTCTGGTAGCGCGATTCAAGCTGCATAAAAAACTATACTGCTATAGACGCGCTACCGTTAGAAAATCAATATTATCGCAGCTATGACATTTACACATGGGGCTTTTTATTAAGATGATTGGTAAGAAAATACACGTGTAAGTCAGTATGTAATATTTATTGCTTTCAAGGAAACATTCAAAGAAAAAATAAAAATATCATAAAAGTGAAAAAATGTAAATACATAAATATCATTAAAAAGTAAAACAAATAACATAAGTTCCATTTAGCCTTTTCCCCACTCAACAGGTGTACAACAAATAAGGTGTAAAATAATAACATATTTACCATAAAGTGGTCCGACTCTGGTGTTGTTTCGGATAGGATGTTGCTTGCCATTATTGAATGTATAACAATTACCGTACAAATAATTGTATGTGTAGGTGAAATTACTGCGAACAGAAATAATAAAAATATTATTATAAGATACAAGGTTAGAGATTATTAATTTTATACGCAACATACTTGTTATTGTGTTGTTTTAATAGTGCTATTACTATTAGAGAGGCTATAGACTATAATATATATATACATTTATATATATATATATTTATATATATATATATATATACATTTTAAAAGGCAAATGGGAAAACCCATAAAACAGCAAACGGCCACATAATGCAAAACTATTTAAAATTAAAACGGAACAGTAGAGAAAATCCGATCAGAATGGCAAAATAAACAAAGCATCCACTGGAAGGAATCCCAATATCTGCAGACGGATCCGTTTCGGCCTTCCAGTCCTCATCCTGTCTCTTATACACATCTAGATGTGTATAAGAGACAGGAGACAACTATAACAATGTACAATTCCAATAAACCAACCAAATCAATTATTCTGTCTACTTCCTAAAAATTTGTTACCGGTATAATACGGCCTTATACTAATTTTTGCTCAATTGAAAATATGTTGTCCTTGGTAGAAACATTTCAGCATTATTTCAGCAATGAATAATAATAAAATGATAAAAGTTCAAGCAAAGATACTGGTTCTAGCAGGGGCGGGAAGCATTAATGGTTGGTCTGGAAGAATTGGGTCAAACAAATCAGTCCAACCAAACATGGACTAGAATAATGGCACACCTGGATGATTGAAATAACACTCTCAGAGTAAAAATGAAAATAAAATCCAGTTTAATTTAAACCAAACATAGTTTGCAAAAGGACAGGAGAGAAATGTCATTAATTGTCCGAAATTGACACATACTTTTACTCATTCAAATTGTTAATGGTGATTTAGTAACTTGCAGCACTTAGGCCTAAATAAGTACTCTACTTAATTAGGCAATAATTTTACCTAAAGACAGCCAGTACATCTTTACCAACTATTTATTTTTTGTATGTAAACCTAAATTTTGTATAAATAAATTTGTGTTACTAGTAAACTACCAAACAAGTAGGCTATTTATTAAGTGTGGCATTAAGTGACTTGTGATGTCATGTATCGTGCATGAATGTCTAGTTTTTAATAATTTATTGGATATTTGGGAAATATCGGTATGCAAGATCACAAGGTACTGTACATTATATAGATGTTCAGCTACACCATCATACACATGAAAATGAATATAACCGAATTATGAGCTATGAGCTTATCGTTGCATTGCCGAGTCTTTGCAAAAGTAAACGTAAACTACAGTCTATCCAATCACAATACATTTGATTGTTCCAAATATACTGATATATTGGCCTTTATTTTAGCGCACTCACCGCCATACAAACATTGGTAATCCCCACCCCAATTTTTCAAAATAAAAAAAAAAAAAAAAAAATGGATAAGAAAGGAAAATTATAATGAAGTTTACCTTGTTCATGTTCACCCCATGAAAATCCCAAGGCTACGCAAACCATTATTGGCCGCATCTGCTATACATCTAAATGCACGTTCACCAAGTTCGCCACTGATGGCTGTAGAAACTAAATTTCTTTTTTGCTCAACAAATTCAACATGTTTTTTTTTATATAAAACATTCTCAATACTTATTGGTATGATATTTGTAGAGTGCCTTCCACAATAAAATCGTCTCAAGGCGCTGACTGTATATTCAGCCACGAATCATATTGAAAAACAGAAAAAAAAATATTACACTGTGTGATGTGTGTATGTGCATGTGAAACAATTGATTTTGAATACATGGCAATTATAACACTTCACACATACAAAGTTGAAGTACTGAAGAATTTTAATCATCACATACACATTCATATCCAATATAACTGAGATTCTTCCTTTGGTTCAAAACATCTGAGTTTACATATACAGTACATACAAAACTAGTATAATTATATTGTAGGAAAAGGTTTGGCACATTTCATTTAGATACATTGTGTATAAATATAAAATCAACAGCAAATACAGAACAGAATATAACCAGACTGACTAGTGACCTATACCTATTACTGTACTATCATAATGTAATAATCATTAAGATTATTATTTTATTGGTGAAGGTCATTGGAATGCTTTAACATACATTACTTCTTATCCATTTTTATGTTATGTGACTGATATATATTATATCTGACATTATGTATATTCCTGTTCTCACTATTCATTACATTATTGATATGTATACTATCAGGCCCACATCCAACTATGATGTTACAATAAAGATAGATTGTTAATGATATTGTATATAATACAACTATGATATGTTACCAAGATTTAGAAATGAGTGGTAGATGTTGTGGTATAGTATACAAATAACGATTGTTATATGAGTGCAGTGGGAAAAATATTTTCATGAGTTGAAAGATGGAATCAACACCTTGTTAAATGGAACTGTAAATCGTTCAATGAATATTATTTATTTATTATATATTCGGCATATTGTACAGAGTATTACTGAATAATCTTTGTGTCTACTGGTCTAAGAATTAAATATGTGGACCCGCCCACTCTTAACAACCACCCTCAAACACTGTACATATCTATGCCAATTGACACAAAGAGTTTTTCCGCTGATCTTGGAAAAATTTATTTTTTTACACAAAAACAATGTACTGTTTCCTGTTTCACAGAATGACGATATGACTGATTGCAATAAAATTGAATTTGATTTGAATTGGTTGATTCTTGTCATCTGATATTCTATTTTTAAAAATGTCACCTTTTTTCTTAATGCAGTAGTCCATCTCATTTCAACGAATGAGATATCACAACAAATAGGTTGTGATGTGGAATAAACTTAAAGGAACAAAGACATATGGAAATGGAACTAAACAAATGGCAAACGACAGTCTGATTAATTTATTGATGTCTATTCTCATAAACATTACAGATCTATTTAGGTTAGATATAGTAGGTTACATTTCATCATAGACATTACCATAGTATTATGTTACACCAATGATATGTGTAATGTCAATCAAATAAACTGCATTTTATTGTTAAGTATTGCATAACATGTAAATGTCTTGTTAATGTTATTTTTCAGACCTTTTATACAATGTAATGAACATGTGTCATGCCATTTTCTTTTTGTAAAACAATGGCACACAAAACTTTAAAAACAAATGTAACAATGTGAAACATTATGTTTCATCCATTTATAAAGCAATTTAAACTTCTCTGAAGCAATCATTGATTAAATTCTGTACACAAAATAAGGTATATATAACATGTCCAAATAAGGTATATATAACATCTAGATGTGTATAAGAGACAGATGTAATACTAATAATGGAATGTCAGTAACTAGAAATTGCTGTTTTAAATTCATAATTTTTAATCAATAACAAGAACACTATGATTGTTTTATAGAAAATAATTATAATTTCTAATTTTCTTATGTACAAATCCATATATATATTTTTTTCCATTTTTATATGAAAAAGAATTATAAAATATGGCATTAATAAATGGAAGCACGGCTTAAAATTATTATTTTTTGAGTTCTGGGATGGAAGATCTGTGAAATATTAGTTATCAATAAATGAGTTCATATAGTTATATCTTTAAAAATTATTAAACACAGAAAATCCAATCTTTATTATTTTTTCATACATGATTTTTTTTCCCAAACATAACGCTATTTTTGGTCCAGATATTTATGTTAATATTTCACCTGCTATCAAAATGATGTAAACAGGAATATTTCTGTGGAGCAAATAAAAACAAAACATTAAATCAAATCAGCAAGTAGACCTACATCATGGAAGATTTTGACATAACATAATATACAATAATATACAATACATACTGTATGAGTATAATTATATATATATATATATTGCTAAGTAGTGTTATTAATTATACTAAATATACCATAAGGAATAGGGGACTTTTTGGTACAGAAGCCATTTTTTAGGGTATAAAGAACTATGTACAATTAAAGAAAGTGACAACTCCATCACTCCATATCCCCTAATATATAAGCAAGAAGGAAACAATGAGGCACTACATAACATAACTGCATGACCTCTCCTTGGATCTTTCACCAAAATTAACATTATCCATTGGGGCCCGGGTATAAGTTAGGGGTGAAAAATTGCATTAATCTTGATGACTGCTGAGAAAACCGATCAGGTATAAGCAGACATATATTATGTATTAGCATATTAATTTATTTCTTGTCATATGTTCTCATCAAACAGTAATTGAATACATCCTATAAATTAGTTTTAATTTGAAGCTTATGATATAAAGGGTGAAAAGGGGTGAAAAATGGCATTGATCTTAATGACCACTGAGGTAACAAATGAGGTATAAACAGACATATATTATGTATTAGCACATTAATTTATTTTTTGTCATATGTTCTCATCGAACTGCAAGTGAATACACTCTATAAATTAGTCTTTATTAGAAGCTTAGGGAATAGAGTTTTAAAAAAAGAGCATGGACCCTAAACCCAACAATTAAAAGGCAACAATCCACCAAGCTACAGTAGTGTATGCACATGAACCCGGGGGCTCACTCTTCAACATTTCTAGATGGGTAGGTGCCGCATTTACGGGGGTATTTTTGAGGACTTGGTAGCACAAGTGTGGGAATTTATGGAAGAGTTTCAGCATGTATAGGGTATATTTGCGAGGACTTGGTAGCACAAGTGTGGGAAATACCAGGTAAATTTGGTAGTTAAAGTCCCTGCCCCGTCCCGTATCAAAGTCGCATAATTTTTCACAGGATGTTAGCAAAGATTTTTTGCTAACCTCCGTGCAAAACCTACCGTTAATACATAGCCATGAACAGTATGGATCGTGAACAGACAGAAATGTGGTCTCATTTGCCATCGGTACAAGTTTAATTTGCTAGGTTACATGGCCGTAATAGTAGTTCAACCAACGTCGATTTTGGTAAATGGTAGTTCAAGTCCCAAATAATTTTCAGTAAAATAGGTAGCGGAAGTGTCTCATGTCTTGGAGCGGCTGCTGCACGCCCCTGTAAGGTTGGTATACAAGTGAGCCCCCCCGGGATGCACATCCAATCATTTTAAAAATACACAGAGAACAGGCACTGGTGCTGTGCATTCAAAATGCTCCTATTCTCAAGGTAATCAAGCACAAGCCAAGTATTTTGTCATCCAAGGTGCCCTAGGCAGCATACTAAAGGCAACTTGGTGTCCAGAAATGATAAACACAAGAAAACATTACTTACATATCTCATGCAATCAACTTGAAAAGCTTAATGAGAAGCCATTAGCAGCCGGTGCATCTGTACCTTGTTGAGGTGGATCTCCACTGACAAAACGCACGAACACTCTCCTACCCACTGCTGTTATGTCTGCTGGCACAGTCTGCAAATCCAACATATACATTATTAATAATAACAACATTCAATGAATTCAACAATCTAATTTGAAGAGCCATATTATATTTTAACAAGATCTCAAATCCACAAGAAGAGAGTAAATGAGCGTTCGCTACTGCAAATAAACATTACTAGTGTTATTCTGCTAAGCAGTTACATAAATGAATTGCACCCTCACCTGCCCACAATAACGTCCTCGTAACGATGCGCTGGAATCTCGTCCATCAAATATTTCGACCACGCCACCGTTGTTACAAACGCCTTCTGGTCCTGGTAAGTTGATTTGTGAAAATGATAGTGAAAGTGTACCCCCTCCTACAGGTACTTCAACAAGCCACTCACAAGTAACATTGCTGGGGTAAGCCTGTGGGTACAATGGACTTGTGAAGCTGCCACTTGCACCTGTAACCGTTCCACCACAGCCTAAAATTGAGAGGACATTGGTGATCAAAACTTCCTGAATTCTTAAAAATGGTTTAATTATTAGTAATAACAGTAAACACTAGATTTTACACAAGAACTTTTGGTCAGACCTCTAAGCTGGTTAAGTAGACTCAGGGCTTTAGAATTTTCACCAATTACACCAGGACTTGGACTTTTCCCCCTGGTTTAAAACCCTAGATGTTGAATTTCAACTACGGTATTTCGAGGTCTGGGGTCAGACTTTTCTCTTGTTAAAAAGCTTTTTTTACTTTTTCTAGGTTTGACCTATCAGAAGTCAGATTTTTTTTCTTGGGTAAAACCCTGAGCTTGGACTTTCACTGGGACACACCTAAAGGGCTCAGACTATTCCTCTTCATACTCTGGGATTGGATTTTCCCCTGGGTAAGATTCAAAGGCTCAGACTTTTGCACACCACAGGTGATGAATTTTAACCAATGAGTCCCGGGGTCAGACATTTTTCTGAGTAAGAGTCAAGACCTAAGGTTTGGACTTTTTCTTCTAGGTTGGACTGTAAAGGCTCTTTCTATTCTTTCTGGTGTAACAAACACTAACTAAAAATCTAATGTGCACCCTACAATGTTATTAAAGTGCAAGATATCGCCCATTTATGGTGGACGTGACTGAATGATGTTATAAAAATGATGCATTTCCACAGTACCAACATTCTGAAGGCTCAGCTGTTTTCGAGACTACAAATGGATTGGGCTTTGCATAAATTTACAGTAAAGACATTATTATTACTATAACTAAAATTACAATTATCTACTATATAAATACTGTATTATTATTATTATTATTATCAGTATTATTATTATTATTATTATTATTATTATTATTATTATTATTATAATGTAGATAGCATAATGCTGGAACAACCTTATGAATGATGGAAATAAGCCCTAGGTTCTGCTGAAAGGATTACTAACCTTGTGATACTGTAGAAGATGAAAAAGTCGCATCAAAACCAGCAAAAGTCACAGACGAATCTGTGACGAACCTGATGACAGCCAAGTTGTCTGTAAAGAAAAACGGTTCTGGAATGCTGGTACCACACAGCTTGACTGGTTCACTGCTGGAGCTGTTGTATACCTATAAATACAATAATATAAATATTTAAAAATAATAATTTGCCTATCCACAAATAATATTATCTTGATTTCCAATCCCTAATATTGTGGTCTAAAAGCAAAATATGGGGCATAAATTAAGCCATAAAAACTCTCCCTGTGTACTCTACCAGTTATTTTTTATTCCTGGAATCCGGACCAAGGCATTAGTTAGCTCCTTTATTCGGACCCCCTGTTTGACACGTCAGATCCCCTGTCATCAAATTTCTAGAGCCTTTGCAGTTCCTGCATTCCAATTGTGACAGCACAGAATTTTTTTTGCATGACTACAACCCATCACTCCCCCTAAGCCTCATAATGAAACATTATTTCATATTTATGAGGGCCCATGAACATCAGCCGACCTTGGAGGAGGCTGGAAGGGTCACCCTCTAGAAAATAGGTAAAAAAAAAAATTGGACAGAAGTAGAGCAATGAAACCTAGCTGCAGCCTTGTCATGTGGACAGTGTAAGTCTCCACGCCACGTACGTCTAAAGCTATGTCCACACTATCAAATGTTATGGGACAAGTACTGAATCATCACGATCCCATAAATATCACCATATTTAATTTACACTACAAAAGGCTTGCGTTAAGCCCTGTTAAGACTAACAAATTTATTTGACAAAAAACATGCGACATGCCTAAATATGGTCATGATGACATCACATCATGACCATATATAGGCATCATAACCATATATAGGAACATCACTAGATTTGAACTCGTCACTGAGGACGAGTTAGGTGATCCGCCGCACTTTGACCCATGAGGAACTGTGCGCGCGGCGGATTGAACAATAATTAAATGCTGATAATGGAATAAAACAATAATTTAGTTTGTTAAAAAAGAATTTTGAGCATTTTAAAAGATTTACTCAAGCGTACGCGCACGTCATGACGCACGTGCCCATCTTAATGACACTGTTGTCTTTTGCTATGAGATATATATGTATCAACTTTCATTGACAAACGCCTATTGGTGAAGGAGTAATGATCATTCATAAAATTTATCGAATAAAAATTCAGTTTTTTTGACTTCAGGATGGCAATATGGTGACGTCACAATGTCCGATGAGTTATTATGATATATAAAATCATATCTACAACTCATGTGCTTTTAGAATATGTAATAAAAATTGGAGGTCACCTTTCATTCTAAGGAGCTATATTTGATTATATATAGGCATAATTATTAGCATATGTAATATTTGACGCACGCGTACGCGCACGTTAAGACGCCCAAACAAAAAAGTAAGATACCTAACATTCAAACTTGATCTGAAGTATAAGCCCATTTAATATTATTCAGAAATGACGAATGGTTAAGATGATTTGACGTCATCAACGTTTAAAGAAAAGAAATATAATTTTTTTCATATTTTTTAATTCAGATGGCAATATGATGACGTCACAATGTCCGATCAGCTATTATGATATATAAAATCATATCTACAGCTCATGTGCTTTAAGAATATGTAATAAAAATTGGGTGTCACCTTTCATCCTAAGGAGCTATAACTGATTAAAAAAAGACCTGATATAAAGCATATTTTCAATTTGACGCACGCGAACGCTCGCGTTATTACGCGCGCACAAAAATATAATGTACATAACATTTATCCATGACCTGAAGTTTATGCCCACTAAATATGATTCAGAAATCACGAATGATTAAGGTGATTATGGGGTCATCAATGGTTTGACGAAAGAAAGATAAGGGGGTAAGCAAAACCCTATAATTTGACCATGATGACGTCATCGAAATGTGAAAAAGTGAACGTGTATGTAAGAGAATTGACTTAGCTAAAACATACTCAAAGTTGGAAGAAAATCGACCAAGAATAAGCGAGATACGCTCAAATGCGCATTTTTTTTAAATGACGACATCGATAATATTAAGTTTGTTGAATTCAGATGGCAATATGATGACGTCATAATGTCCGATCAGCCATTATGACCTATAAAATCATATGTACAACTCATGTGCTTTCAGAATATGTAATAAAAATTGGGGGTCACCTTTCATCCTGCTATAATTGATTGAAAATAGGCATGTTTTTGGCCTATTTTTGCTATATGTCGAAAAAAACGCGCACATGTGCTTTTATGTTCTATGCGCGCGTACGGCATTGCTATTGACCCTAAATGACCAAAAAAAGATTGGAAATTTGTGAATACAGTGTCAGGGACCTAAAACATTTAAAAAAACAATATTTTTTAACTTCTGTACGT